TACCTATACCATTCAACCCCCTTACTACTCTTCTGTAAAGCAATTGTATTCATTCATCAAAGCATTCAGGAAAAAGCTTCAACTTTGCCAAAGACAGCTGTCTCAAGCGCAGCCGAAAACCGCAGATTTCCCATCACTACAATTAATCATGACATGACTTCCAGAAAGTGACACCGATGTACAACTGTGGAAGTGCGTCGTAGGAACTTCATCCCTGGCGGGCTGTTTCCAAGGCACTTTCTGGAATTTGTAGCCACTGAAAAGAAGTTCAGAGTTTTTCTTCGCCCTTCTCTGTGGATCCTGACGGTGCTCCAGGCCACCTGCATCTTGAACTAATTGTTACCAAGCGACGTAGAATGTCGCAGTCGGCACCAACATGTTCACGTTCAATTGGGGCTGGAACATAAGGATAAATTCCTCTTGAATGTTCATTCCGGGTCGCATCGTCATCACATTTACTGCCAGCTGGATAAATACAGATCCCAAGAAAGTGAACATTTACTAAGCAGGTGCTTAGCTTGTTTTGTTTGACATACTTTTGAACGCAGTTATCCTCAGTTTTGAATTTTAACCAGAAAGGTGTAAGGATGATACCAGTTGATCCTCACTTATTTGACAGCTTGCTTATAAAACCCAGTGCATTTAAAGCCTAATCTGACCAAGTTGCTGTAGTCAGGTTCTCAATTCCATCAGTAAGATTAAAAACTTGTAAGTAGAAAGTTAATGTTTGCCGTTCTTTTCTAAGTTTTTGGCTGATTGTGGTCCGACATAGTTTTACAAAATATGACCTTCCTTGCCATAGGTTTGGCACCCCTGAACTGATGAGCCCCAGTAGGGCGAAACGGCCGTCTGGTGCTTTTCCGGACAGCTGGTCGACATATCTGAATTGTTGCCTGATTGCGACGAACAAAAATACGAAATGATTACATCAGTTTCCGGCGTGACTCCATCCAGCTACCACCGGTCGTGTAGCAACTCGTGTCCCAATGATAGGCGTCTCGAAACCGTCATGTTCCTATGCTGCGGCCCATGCTTCCCTCGCTTTTTGAATTGAGTCTGCTTGCGTACTATTCGAACTCGGTTTTTTTCAAACCTATTTGCCTTGGGGTCAAGTTGTAGCCATTATGGCTGTCTTCACTTTCGTTTCGGCCCGTATCGTGTGTCATCTGATGCCTCTAGGTTATGTTTTGAACCACGTAGCTGCTCAGCTTCCTCTTCCAAACCAAACCTTTCTAGCAGGATGGACGACGGTAAGGATGGCGGTTCTGAGGGATCTTATGTCTTGCCGTAAGTAGGCCTAGGCTGATTGGCGTGCATGGTTCATTTTGCATTTTATACCAATAGCTCTTCAATGACACGACCATTTCTGCGGAGCACTCCACCTGTTGTCCACTTCATCGGTCCTCGGAACTCTCGCGCGTACAGTATGTCACGAAGTTTGAATTGACGGAGCCTGCCTTTTAGATTTTCCTCCAAGTAATAACTGCGATGGTTTTCTTTTCTGCTTGACACAAGGTTATCGAAGAACGTTAGGGTCCTACTTCCAAATTAAATTTCTGCAACGCTTTTCCATCTGGGGCATTTGGGTTTGACGCATTCCGATACATGCACAAGAAAGACTGGATCGCCTCCTTCGGGGCATTGTTTTATCCCGCTTTACAAAGAGCACGTTTAAAGGTATATACGAACCGTTCCGCCCGCCCATTTAATTGTAGATGTTAGGGAGGTTAAAAATTTGCCGAATTCCTTTCTCCTTGCACCACTCAAGAAAGAAATTTGAAAAAAATTTTGTACCCTTGTCTGTCACTATTATCTCTGACAGGCCGAAATACTGGAACAGCGTATTTAGCTTGTTAATCGTGTGCTGGGCAGTGGGGATTTACATTGGCATCACATCGGGTCCCTTGTAGAAAGTGTCCACGAAAACAAGAAGGATTGACCTGCGATTGCTCCTTATAATCAAGGTAGATTCGCTGCTATGGCTTCTATGCTTTGGACCAAGCTTGCCAGGGGCAGGTCCATGTGAAGGGTCTTCGCCGCCAGTTGACAGGATTAACATTTTTGGCGGAATTGTTCAATTTCTGCGTACGTTCTAAGCTAATAAACAAACTGCGTGTCAAGACTTTCATACGGCTGGTAGCTGGATGCCGGGTATGAAAATGCTGTAAGACTTGCCTGTCCAAGTTCCTTGGCACTACCATTCGGTATCCAAACCTCAAACAACTGTCCACAACGGACAGTGCCCCACGTTGATTGAAAAAACACCGCAAGTCAGCAGGGATACCAGCTTTTGACCAACCTGTTTTCGCGTAATGCATCATTTTCTCTATAACGGATTGAAATGGGGCAATAGGAGATGAGGTGAGTGTTGCTTTGACTACGCCAAAGGACTGCTGGCATTCCCTCATCTATTGCCAAACGCTATCTTTTTTCAGCCACTGTTTCAGCGGACCTCTAGTTTGATGCAGACTTGGTAGGAAAACACTGTACTGGCTCTTGAGACTGAGGAATGAGCGAAGCTCTGCGACGCTTTTCGGAGGCGCTATCTGTTTGATAGATTCAATATTGGCCGGATCTGGCCGCCGGCCATAGTCTCTGCTAAACACGAGGAATTTAACACAGTCTAACATGAAATCACATTTCTCACATTTCTCAGCCAGTAAACGAAATCCAGCTTCTTCCAAACGTGAAAGCACCGGCTCCAGTGTGTGCTTACATTCTTGCAGGCCTGCGCCCATAATCAATGCATCATCGAGGTAGACCGCGGTATTGCGGATGTCTTCCGCAGGGTATCGATAATGTGCTGGAAATGGCCGGTTGGATTTTCACCCCAAATGGCAGCCGGTTGCACTGGAAAAGTCCGAGGTGCTTATTAACCGTTATTAATGTTCTGCACTGCTGGACAACTGGAACTTGCAAGCAAGCGTCAGCTAAGTCAAGTTTTGCAAAGCAGTTGTTACCGTTGAGTTTGGAGAAAAAGTCACCTGGTACAGGCAATGGGTACTGATGCGGCTCCATCGCAGAATTCAGTCCTGTTAGAAAATCAGCACAGGTACGGACCTTATTGTTCGTGTTCTTTACCACCACAATCGGTGTCCCCCCTACTAAATACTAGACCCGTTCGACTATACCTTCGGATTACGAACGATTTAGCTCGGTTTCTACTAGAGATTTAGACTGGTCTGGCATCTGATTTGAAGTTCAGCTCCGCCCTGGCTACGCGACAACGTCCGAGAGCAGGCTTGAACGACGTTTCATGGCGGCGGTTCAGGTCTGCAGTTTGGTTGCGTAATTCACGGTTCATCGTTGGCATCTGCGTAGCTTGCTTGACTTTCGACTGCAGGCATATAGTGTTTACCGACTGGTCGAGCAAGTTCAGCTCGTCCATCTAATTAGGTCTCAGGAAATCTAACAGCGGTTAATCTGTCGCAAAGCACTTTGTGTGGATTTGTTGGCATCAGAACGTCAGCATGAAACATTAGGTCATTTTGGGACAAGCGGTTTATACAGTAGTGAAAACTCCGACAATTCAAGTACTTTAGACGCCTAGATAAACAGTTTCCGTACATTTCCAAATGAGCTTTTGGGGTCGGTGTTATATTGCATTTGATTACGTTAAACAAACAATGAGGAATCACGGTAGCGGAGGTGGATATCAGTTAATCAACGGAACCGTGTAGTTTGGCGAATAACTCCGCTGCCGCTAATGACCAAATCCGCTGGAGTCGTCCCCAATGGACTGCAAGGTTCGATTCCTGGATCCATCTTCCCATTCAGATCAGAAAGTTCCATTAAAATAGCTTCCGTCATTTAGTCTACGATGGTACTTTTCCCACTGTCCACGATGATCAGCAACTAATACACGTACCGGAAGCGAAACCGTACAGAACTTGGAAGCAGTACTTGGGATGTCGTGTCTGATCACTGTACAAACGGCGTATAGTTATAAACGAATTGTGTTTCAGCTATCGGTTGCTTCTGTTGATAAGATAGGCGCTGAAATTGGTGTTACTGTTGTTTTCCACCTCAAGACTTTGCCTTGTGTAGGGTGCGCCAATTGACTAGGTAACGCCACAACGGAGCGCTAGGTGCCTCTATGTAACGCCTCAGCAGACCATATCTCTTATCATTGGGTTGTGACGATGGCTGCGATTCGCATCACGCTAATGAGGGTTGCACACTTCCGAATATGCATAGATGCAGTAGCTCAGTTAGTATGCCTCCGGTGGATAGCTTGAAGCAGTAACAAACGTCATCGCTACTCAGAAAAAGATGCATTACCATAAGATTATGCAGAAGATATATGTAGCAGAACGCTTAAACTGATGGTAGTCTGTACACTTGGCAAACGTGAGTTTTAAAAGTTTAGAGGCCGATAGTATTTGTGGACAGAAAACTTGTCGAGATTAATAATAAGTAACTAGTCTTAGTACCTTCTAAACATCAACATAGCGTTGATTTCTACTACCAAGAAAAAACTCAGCAAAACTCAGTTGTTTACAAAGAAAAGTAATTAGTTAGGTAGTAACGTTTCGCCATCTCAAGTAATTTATTACAGTCAATGGCTATGACGCAAACAAGGAAAGCTTTTCAAGTATCTATGAGAAACATTTAATTTTCTGTCCATATTACTGGCCATTCGTGCGATTTTATACTGGGTACCTTCTTAACTTCGGGTCATACAGTAGGCATATCTCTTACAGTTTGTTTGAGACGTACTATTCATTGGGGCAAGGGCTACATTTCGCATGTTACTGCTGTGTAAGCAAGGTTTATATTATTTCAAACAATCTTTGTAAGAGTTGAATAGGAAGAATGTGGCACAACCTCGGATATCAAATAAATTTAGCCAACGCCTTGGTTACCAGGTGCCCTTAGTTATCATATTCACAATACTCTCCGGTATATCGCATGACCTCCTATTGTGGTGGCAGATCGGCAATACAACCAGCATCGAACATATCCCAAAATTAATTTCGGTAACACCACAACTGTTTACTGTAACAACAGTGATTTATTTATTCCTCAGTCCAGTAGCATAGCGGATGATGAAACAGTATTTGACGTACTGGTTGAGAAGTAGGGAGGAAATGCAACGGTGTTCTTGGTGTCACTGTACTAGGGAGATGGACGGGGGGAGTTTCGACCTATGGGGAATACAACTGTGACAGGCTGCATCAGGTCACAAACATGGGAAAGGTACTTTGATAGTGAATTGTTCAGGGTGAGATGATGCCTGAGCCTGGATTAGCACATGAATGGCGCTCTTAGAAATACAAATGAAATCATTCGGTGAAAAGTGTCATTTTGATCTTCACCACAGACAGTAACGTCGAAGCACGATTCTGCAACATTCGGTTGATCACCGCCCGCGGTTAAATCACCTTCACCAGTCCAATTTCCGTGTCACAAACCGGGCATGTGTGCTTCACATCCTTACAACAGTCCGTGTAGAAAGGAATTAGGAAGCAGCCAAGGATGCCACTGTGGGAGAAAACAGGTACCAGCTTAAGGCATAAAGTGAAGGGTAACAGCCTAAAAGAGCGTTACACATAAAATAACATTTTTCGACCTAAACGTTCCAAATAAACACTTAGCAACGAATGAATCCATTGTGAAATGTACAGATTGTGGTTTAAAATGAAAACTAAGCAAGAGAGACTTTTGGAAACAGAGTCATGTAACTGATATTAAGTTCACATAGTTTCAACATTACCGAGCGATACACATTTTACTCTTACTTCGATGAGCGCATCAAGCCCTCATGGTTCGCCCGATATTTAACACGGGTTTAGCTCAGCTGCACTCATCTAGACTAAACAATCGATAAAGTAAGAAAGCTATATATTGATTCATAGAATGTCTTTTACGATCGAGTACCTGTCGGCCATGTATACGAAACGATGGCTATTATTTGAATCAATGTGTAAGATCTGGTGTAATTCACTCCGCATCTGCCGACGATGACATCTCCTTGCATGAACACGGCTCGCAAATGTTTGATTTCAGCCATTAACAATGGCTACAGGTTCAACATGCTAAGTAAATAAAGAACTGCGGGGACGCATCTGTGACGGGGTATATATTTATTCGTTGTGCAGCTACCTCGTTTTAAATGGTAATATGCTGAATGCCTTTTCAATACGAGAGAATGTTGGACAACACCGTTCTCTTCACTGTAGGCCATAGTTGGGGCAAAGCGCTGCCACGACCTGTTCAGTACAACATAAATGTCAATTTATCTAATAAACTATTTTGCTACTTTTGAATATATTCTGATATTAATTTTTTGATCATGCAGAATCAAAAGACAGCTGATTAAATTTGTGCCAACTGAAGCAAAACTCTATCGAAGAGTAAACTATTAGGAATTGTGATACTTAGGAAATAACATGTGTCTTACCCGCACAAGAAGATAAGTACAGCGGATAGCCAGGTTATGACACCAATGTGAAATGTGGTTACTGTCATAGTACGCTGCTGACAAGTCTGACATCGAACGACCACTGGTTCGCGGCCCAGCTTAACTGGTTCTGAAAATCACATGGATGTAAGAAAATAGGCGCGACATAAAGAGTGAAAGTGTGTATTCGCAAACTCAGTGTTTTGTAGATTATATGTGTTCAAAAATAATACAAGTCAGAAGCATAGCAATAGAGCCTCTGTCATAAAATGTAGTGCAAATTTAGATTTAGCGCATCCTGCATACTGCGCTCCTTTCGGGTATTTTCTGTTCAATGCTCCGAATGTTGTCTGTATAATTTAGTTTGTGCGGGTTTGCTTTAAACGTGGTGTCCGATTCTTTTGATATTTGGGTCTTTGGGTAAATGCCGCTTGTACAGACTGAGACACACAATCTCAATTGTATCCATGATTTAATTTGAAGTAAGCGTGTTCCATTACGATAATTGGAACTGCGTCTGACTAAAAGTGTATCGGGACTTCAGTGTTGAGAGAAAGCAGCCCTAGAACTTCCAACTTCGGAGGTTATGCTAGCACAAGTTAATTGCAGAATAAACCCTGGTCTTATTTTGGATTGCTTGTCGAAATCCAGACAAAGCAGTACTCTAAAACCCACAAAATAAATTACCGATCCCTGTGTCAACAATGTTTGTAGCGTTCATGTTCCAGTCTGCTTTTCATCTTTTATTTTCCTTCAGGCTTTTTCGTTTGTGATAAGAAGAATCTAGTTAAGCAACTTACCTGCAGCTAAGACCTTTGTGTCCTTTCCTTGCGCCATGAAGGTATCAAAATGATGCTTTTCCCCAACTGAAACAGCATAAAGATTGCAAGAGGAGTGCAAGAGGAAATATAGAAAAGTGTAAATGGGGATAACAAGGTTCTCTGATAATCAGTTGGTAAAAATTGACTGTTTGAAAATATCCGTGTTAATTCTTTCAGTGAGTAGGTTTTTGATACGCTCACCTGTAACTTGCAATTCCGAATTGTCTTCAGATGTTTGAAAAAGCGTTAGACGGCTGTTCCACTTTCTCGAAACTCGTCAGTGGTCTGCATCCCCCTTAATAGGTGGCCTGTAGATTAGCGGCACGAATTAGTGGCAACCGGCACAAGCCCTTGGTATCTAATGGCTCTGTATGTGGCCCCTGCTAGGGTTGACAAAAGCCTATTATTGATGAAACAAGCGTTTAACACTTCTTCAGAAGTGTGCCATGCAGTTTGACCTGAAATCCACTGCAGAAACCTTTAAGTAAAGCTTGACCTTGTTAAGGTCATTTGCTAGTTTTAGATGCTAGGAGTCGACCCACAAAGTTTCCTAACGATAAGAAATGGTATCTTCTGTTCCAAAAATGTTCAGATTGACAAGCGCTATTTTTATCTGTTGAAACAAACGCCATTCGAGTTTAACAGATCTACTTAACCATCAATAAGTACAACAGGAAGCGCTACAGAATCAAGATATGTGTATGTGAAACTAATTAGTGCACAACTAATTAGCCACCTCATGACTAGGGGCCGTTTGACTCTTGCCCATTTAACCGGACAAACTCCTGCAACCGTACGATTTCAGTGTGTTATTATGCAACTTCCGTTTGGTGCTAATGCTAGCTGATTAAGGGGGTGATGGAGTGTCCATGGTACCTAGTACAAATTAGGATATTAGATGCATTTTAAGCAAGAAATAGTTACAATGTTGATTATTTGTAAACACAACTACCTAAGTTGGTCAACGTGGGTAATGGGTGCTGCCCGCCCCCAAAACACTGCTGCACAGGCCGGGTAACTCTACAAAGCAGGAGTAGCGAAATTATTTTCTACCTATTACATTGTTCCGAAAGCAAATAACTCTTTTAACACACTTTTGCTATCACTATTTATTTTTAACGGACCACATTATTTAATCAACGTAAATCCATTGTTTTCGACGACATCCTACCAAAGTTCAGGCACGCTATCGATGCCTCTCTCATAGAACGATTTGGGTTGGCTGTCAAAGTAGTGGGCAAGGTACGTTTCGATATGGTTGCGTTCATCGGATATCTTGTCCTTGAAGTTATTTTGCTGCAAGCGGTAAAAATAGTATTCAGTAGCAACGAGATCCGGACTACATGATGGATGCATAAAAATCTCGACGCCGAGCTGCTAAATTTTGAGATGCGTCATCTTTGCCATGCGAGGACGTGCATTGTCATGCAGGAGAAGGAATGGAGCCGCCCTTGGACGCATTTTTCGGTGTTCGTCAACCAGTATTTGCGGTTGTTGGCAGTAGATTTTGGTATTAACCGTGGAGTTGTCAGGTAGGAATTCCCAATAGATGACGCCACGGCGATCCCACCAGACCGACAATATCACATTTTGCCGTGCAGTTCGTCTTACTGAACTTTTACTGGCGTTTCTTCTGCTGCGATCCACTGACGATTCCTACTATTATTGACATGGAGCATCCAGTTTTCGTCTCCAGTAACGACATCGTTAAGCCATCGATGATTGCGTCCTCACGTGATGAAGGAATGTGCGAAGACACAACGGTTCCAATGCCGCTCGTCAGTGAACTATTGTACTACTAGTTGTCCGAGCTTTAGTACCGCTCCGGATTGGCGCAAATAGCGATGAACGGTGATTTTGGAAGGTGGAGGTGTGACCAAACTTCACGAACACTTTGTATCAGATCCTGGATGCCGCTGACAAAGTTCACTGGCTTGTGTCCTTGACCTCCGAGGATTGAACATTCGTTGTTCCATACTTTGCATCAACGAAACTAACATTTTGCCATACCGTAATTGGGAGCATTCATGCTTAATACGCCACGTTTGTTTCGACAAGCTTCTACCGCTTTGCGTCTCTGTTGGTCCTTGTAGAATAAGAATCCGAGAACAGCACGTTGGTCATTTACCAATGCCCCAATCATTGCTAAGCTGTAGAATAAATGAACTACATAAGCTTATTTTTCTAATCCGTCTCCTTATATACACCCATACAAAGGAATCTTCAATAAGCTTCTAGAAAATTCTTGAATAGCGCAAAAAGCCAATTGCTTTTGGGACAACCTGATAAAATGCTCAAATAATAGCAATGTGCGTAATCCAAATAATGTCCTGGTTCAGTTTTACACTTAAATGTTAAACTTGAACAAGATTTTGACATAATCCGAAACACATTATGATGCAATCGGGAAGAAACTGTCATGCTTTTTGCGAAGATTTGTCGCAGCTAGATTCAAGCTGATAGACAACACACATTCAGGAAAGCGCCAGACGGTCGTTTCGTCTATTGGGGCTTGTTAGTAATGCGCGCCCTCCGAATCCTGCCGGATTCGAAACCATGACCTTACGGAAGATCGACTTATGCCCCTGAGCCGTGGGTGACGGCAGCGGACAGCCATGCCTGATATCTAACCACAATATAGCGCAGCTCATCTTCCATTGTCCTGTATGTTACGAACGTACAGAGGGTCCGGCTGACCTCTAGCATTCACCAATGAACACTAGTCGCCTTAACAGATTACATGCCACATTGATTGGTGGTGGTTTGCGAAGGAATTCGGTGCTCTCGGGGACCGCCTTGTCATCTGTACGGTGATAACATGCAGCACAATGGAGGATGAGTCCCTAATTCTCAATTTTGTGTTAGGAGTTTAGGACAATCGCAGTTAGGTGAATTAATTATTTTTTGATTTCCTTTGTGGTGTTTCAACCAAGCTGCGTGTTGGGAAAACGGTAATATTAAACGGATGTCTTGTATTTGGATGTTTAGTGAAATCTGTTGTACAAATGCTCATTAGCATATATAATGAAATCTATTTGTTTATAAGTCCAAATAAGAGTCAGCCGGACAATACTCACCACTGGATGAAGAGCTGTTAGAACTTTCCGTCTGACTTCCACTATATCCTAAAAGAAAGCGAAGGCATCTTTTTGATTAAATCAAGTTTAAGGATTGAAGAAAGCTTTAGTGTAGTGTAAGTCTCATTAGAACGCTACCAGACAAGTTGCTGTTCATGATAACCAAAACATGAAAGCACCGTTACAATTATTATTCTTATGATTTTTTAAATTACATTTAGAATAATGGCATAGCAGTCAATTCGACTAATCAAATCAAACCTTAGCTGTTACACTTAACACAGCTTTTGAGCTCATTATCACTGCAGTTTGAGGTATAAGATCCATCGTGTGAAACTAGAACTTGCCGCATCAAAGGAATTCACAGCTATACTGGATGGGTTGCCACCTATTGGAAGTCACAGAGTAACAGAGAGTGGCCTGGAGGAACGTCTGACAGTTTTTTAGCACTATTTCTATTAGTCAGTCTCACACTAACTGAGAACTTAGGATGTTTATCGTAATTCGTCGAAAGTGCAAGTACGTGCAAACTTTATGACTATCCAGATAAATCCTTTTCTGGCGCCATCCAAAGTCCTAGAATCTCTCGGTACATTTGAGTTGATGACTTATTTTGAAAACCAGATTGTTGTTGTTCCAGACTAGATCGTCTTTTATTGACTGCGTTCGTACTCTGTCAATAAGTGTATGTTAGATGAAATCAGTAGAATCTGGGGAAAGCATCTTATGATCAACTTTGCTCGATTGAACAATGTCAAGCCATATAGACCATGGGTTCTCACTATTCAAGTTCCATTACTGCAGTATCCACGAGCATTGAACGAGATGGATCACAAAGTTGTCCGTGCAAGGATAATTAGCGGTTAGTTAGATTTTCTCTCTCGGCCTAAGAGAAACTTGTTGAAGTCAATAAGGGATATCGAAGGATTACCGTTAAAGCTGATCAGTAATCGCTTCTGTGGGACCTACATCATGCGCCCCCGCGGGGATCCTGAAACCGACTGCAGTTCAAAGTGGACAAACTTGAAGTCTTACCCAAACGGAAGAATGGCACTTACTGATATAGGCTCGGCGCACATGTACCACAGGCAATTGATTATTAAGTGACCGGAGTGTATTAATTCGATGTAAGTTAGCTTGTTGCGTATAAGTAGAAAAGCACTGAATTGAAAACAACTCGCAGGGCTCGTAAGAGGCACGTTTGGCCACTTGGACCTCTTTAGAGTTCCTAAATGCTCAGCACATATACCTGTCTTTGATACTATGCAGGCATAGTAAAAACAGCTAAAACACAATCACACTGAGCTACAGCTCCCTCAAATTTGGTTCACTAAGTACGTCAAGAGGAACGTGCAACGTCTCTTGATAGCACAGCGTAAAATCCTTAGGAGTATTCTGTGGAAGATATTGTAAAGTGCCAGGTAACTTAACACTGGTTCAACTGATAATCTATCAATCGAAAGGTGTGCGTCGCTGTTTGCACCGGCTCAAACGACAGGCCGCGCTCTAAACCTGACGTCGCAGCGCAACAGCATTATATGCTGTTAGACGTTACAGTAGTGTAAGTAATCCTTAGCAGATGATTCACGAAGCAGTATTTTCGATCCGCATTAGCCTCATTTAATAGTCGGCTTGACATTGCAATATGTCAAGTGTACTTTGGGGATGCGCACTATTCGTAAGTTTAATTCCCGAACATCTTACTCCTTTTGCAAACCAGAGTAGATCATGTGAAGCTCAGTGGTTTGCCTACTACTGAAACATCACCAAAGTGTCCGATAGGAGGGTCTCTTTTGACAGTTCATGGGCTGCTTGCAGAAGATGACCTTCATTGTTCAGGACAGACCGCAAAAGTAGCAGGGAAGGCTAATCAACACTGGCCCCTGGCGAAAGGTACTTCAAATATTCAATCTGACTATATTTCCGCACATTTTTAGCGTCTGAATGTGACCCATATGGAACGATGCGGGTTTCGCAGCTAATAGACAAAACTGGATCACGCTGCTTCGATCCAACAAAGAAGGGTGATTAAAAATGTCTTAGGGTTATTCAATTCGTCTCACCAACTTAGACTGAAGGGTCTAAAAGTTTAATGTCCACGGTATCGACCTATGCGCGAAGGCCTTATAGAGACACATCAGTTCCTAAAGGGTTCCAAATACGCGTTCCGTCATCTATTGATACTCGGAACCACACCAGTGCCAGACCACCAGTTAAAGCCTGCCGCAACGGACAGCCGGTTGGAATGACATGGAAACTTTGTACACTAAGGTATGCCAATTCGGAATACGCTCCTAACTTCACTAGTTTTAGCTCCCAAATTAGCCCAATTCAAGTGGCACCTCCATGATTCACTGCTACAAACACAGTGTATGGTTTGCTTCGAGTGCATTGAGCCATGAAGTAAGCTAACCAAACTTTGTTCACTTGTAAAACTTACCATGAGTTTACCGACACTGTTTAGTACTTCGGCATATGAGTATTATAGTTTCGCAATTACCATTTGCCGGACTAGAGAAGTGTTTGCATTTTTACCCCCAACAAGCCAATTGTTCTATCGTTCCACATTTCCGAATATTGACATACTTATTGAACGTTTAACTGAACAAAATAAGTGAAAGCGTTTTGCAGGTGCCCTGAATTCCGGGTATTGGTTTCGTGTGAGCTAGTAACCCAGTTTTAATCGCTGTTTAGCCTTATTTTAATCAAAGCAAACATTGCTGTTTGCCCCACCTACGACGATGAAATATTGATCTTGTTTCACATGCAGTTTGCTACACATAAATTTTCTTGACCTCTATAGCACTCATCCTCCACAATCAGTTGTGATGTAAGGGTTCATGAATAAGCAACCACATCGTGTGTTTAATCCACGACATGCGATCCCAACTTCTACTCCCGTTTCCAGCACTGGGGTAACATCCAAATTGGATCCGAAGCAACGCGATCCCCGCATTGAACCTCAACTGTGTAAGCCTTAGTTAAACTGTTAAAATCAGAAAAGCACCAGCCGTAACACAGGTTGGAAGTCAATAAGACCTAAACTTCATGCGGTCCAGTACTTGTTCAGATGATCAGGTCAAGCGACCAGTAATAATACAGGCGGGTCGTTCAAACTGAGAAGCTTGGAAGTAAAGGATGGTTTTACATCGTCAACAGTTAATATACTCCTGTTAATAGCCATCAAGAAAGAGCGGGTCGTCAGGGAACTATACCGCAACATTTTATGCTAAACTTTACTTTTGTGCGACAAAGGCACTCACAGGCTTTCCGTGGACGAAATTTTGGGCGTAATTCTGCCAGAGTTTTACTGTGCATATTATTGGATGCACTTTAATTTTCGTACAGTCGGATAGAAGTACTCGGAGTCGTCGTTTGGTTGTATTTTAGCTTTTAAAGCAAGAAACCTGAGTGCCACTCAGAATCGATTCGGCAACGACACACAATGATGCGTCCAGTACTAAGCAATCCTCAGATTGTGGGAAAGGGGCAATTTAACAATTTTTCACTTTGGTATTTGTACGTTAGTGTGGGTAGTTAGTGCAGATTAAGAAAACAAGCAGGAACTAAAACTGGATATGCAGCTATTGAACAACCGAGCTGATTTAATGAACCGTCTGCAAAACGTTTCAGGTTACGTAAACTTTGGACATACTATATGGAGCAGAAATTTTTCTCTAGGTTTGTAGCAGTAGATAGCCTTTAAAACGAAAGCAGCATTACGCGAACACTATTACTGCAAGTCCACAGAAGACAAACTCCACGCTTTGTCCATCAAATTCTTAAATTGTTCCGGAGAATTATGTCTACTTGGTCGTTGTATTCTTATAGATATCGCTGTAAATAGTCTCCACCAAGGAGACGGCAAGATGCATGTATCGCGGAAAAGCTACAGTTGTTTTAATCCCGTGTGTCATTTGAGGATGCGTGTTACTATGTAATGACAAATAATTACGCAACGTGTATTTCGATCAAACAAATGATGCAAACACGGACTTTGTATGTGCGCACGTTCAAAACAAACGATCACTACATGTTGCAAGCAAGTTCATACCGAGTGATCCAAATGTCTAACGCGAAATGACGCTAGTAAAGACTATGCGCAACTAACTCAGAGCCGCGTAATTTAAAAGGGTTTCGTTGCTCTTCCTTCCAATCACTAATACACCATAACCGGTTTCATTCTCATTTCGAGTTTACACATAAAGACAACCTGAGCTGGGGTATAATTCGGGGTCTAACAGTTGGCCGGTAGCGCCTTGATCATTAGACTACTGGGATCCTTTGTCAACCCTAGGCACAACGGTTAGGAAATCAAGTTTATTTTGGAGTACCGGCCATCAATCATTAGTCCTTGAGTTCCACTCCCAGTTCAGGTTATCTCTACCTGATTTGTCCAAAAGAGGACAAAACCGGTTGTATGATGTCAGTGTTGGGATGGAGCAACAGAGACTGTTTAACTGCGGTTAGGGTCTTGTTGATCGGAATGACCGAGTTAATAAAAGTAAACCAACCTCATAATATAAGTTGTATGTAGCAGAGCAAGCATACAGCGGGCACACCATCCCCAACTTACAAATCCTATAATTTTCCCTACTGCTATATATAGGCTTTCACCATTTTCTTCTTCATAAGCAACCTCTTGCTTTACCTTCGTGTTATTTGATATTGGTTGGCCTCACGCGTGAACGGCCAGTTACTGCAACCCAGGCAGCCTTGTAATGGCTTGCAATGCACGGAAAGCAGTTGATAAGGTGCGGCAATGCTCGTGATTCCCAGTGGGATTTCACCCTGTCTTCTGTATGGTTTTACAGCGCATAAGATTTGGCGATGGAACATTGATCACCGACTACTGAATGAGGTTAAGCATCGTGTCCAATATCCAAAGTAATGTTCGCTTTGTCTGGTGTAAAATCGACGACCTCACTGCCAATATCGGGCGAAAGGAATAGGTAAGATTTGGTATGGTGATGCCAGAAGAAATATTTTTAATCTATCTGGTGGTCAAGGCATTTCAATTGAATTTAAACCGTACCGCGAGTTTCAAC